AGAGCTGTACACAGTACTCAAAGTGAGGTCACACCAATGCTGAATACAGTGGGATAATCACCTCTCCTGACCGGCTGGTTGTACTGGGTTGAATGCACCCCAGGATGCGGTTCCCCCTCCTGGCTGCCAAGGCACACTGCTGGCTCATGTCGAGCCCGATGTCTACCAGCACTCCCAGATCCCTTTGTGCAGGGCTGCTCTCCAGCCACTCCTCTCCCAATTTATACTCCTGCCCAGCGTTACTCCACCCTAGGTGCAGGATCCAGCATTTGGACTTGTTAAATTTCATCCCATTAATCACTGCCCAGTGCTCCAGCCTATCTAGATCCCTCTGCAAGGCCTCTTGTCCCCCTCAGGAGAGTCAACAGCACCTCCCAGTTTGGCATCATCAGCAAACTTGCTAATGGTGCATTCAGGTCCTGCATCCAGATCGTTGATAAATATATTGCCTTAGAATTGAACTGAGGAGCACCGCTGGTGACCGGTCACCAGCCAGCTGTAGCCCCATTCACTACAGCAATTTGAGCTCTGCCCTTCAGCCAGTTCTTCACCCAGCGCACTGTGAACCTGCCCATCCCACAGCTGGACAACCTGACCACAAGGAAGCTGTGAGGGACAGCATCAAAAATCTTACTAAAATCCAGAAAGACTACATCCACCGCCTTTCCCTCATCCACTAGGAGGGTGACCTTATGATAGAAGGGTATCAAATTAGTTAAACAGGACCTTCCCTTTGTGAACCCATGTTGACTGCGCCTGATGACATTATTCTTTAAACACCTTTCAACAGTACCCAGTATGACCTTCACTAGGATTTTTCCGGGAACTGGGGTTAGACTAACAGGTCTGTAGCTCCCTGGGTCTTCTCTCATGCCCTTTCTGTAGACTGGAATAACATTGGCTCATTTCCAGTCAGTGGGGACCTCCTCAGACTCCCAAGACCTTTGGTAAATGATCGAGAGGGGTCCTGCCATAACATCTGCTAGCTCCCTCCATACTCAGGGGTTTCTAACTTGTCTGGCATGGGACATCAATTCAGGATTAACCCAACCTGCTGGTGATGCACTGCCCGTTCTTTAACCACAGCGACCATGAGAGAGCATTCAGAAGCCTGTCTGGGTCCAAACCATCACACTTGATATAGATAAGGTAAGGTCTGTTTCTAGGCACACAGCTCCTGGCAATCGCCAGGCTTCTAGGCGCATCGCCAAAGCTTCTACAGAGAGATGCTCTGCTCTCTTTTTTCCCTCCCATTTCCTTCTTTTCCAGTGAAACATCTCCCCTCCCAAAAGAAAGAATGGCAATTATCGGGTTCATCAGCAATAGATCTGCCATCACGAAGCCTGGGGATCTCAAATTGCCCGTCTGCCCACTGGACCATTAAAGTCAATGCCTGTTCCTAACCTTTAAATATGAATAGAGGGTGCCCTGCATAATGGATCAGGGACTATCCATGGAGACCATCTGCCTAGTGGCTGCAGAAATGCTCATGTTGTTCTTCTCAGGAGTTTATTGCTCAGAGGCTAATGCTAAAAATACATTGCAAAGGGCCTTATTTAAAAAACAAAGGGCTGATGCAAACCTGGTGACAGAGAAACACAAGACGGAACCCAAGCACCTCTGCCACCCAGGCTGGAGTGAAGCTGCAAGTAAACAGGCACTAACTTAATTTGAAAGGCAATGACATAATTCTGAATTAGCTTAATAGGACCTGCAATTCATACAGAAAAGCCTGAATTTATGTAGTAATTAGCCAGAGCTTTCAGAGGGCTAGGTATCTCCGTGGCGAGAAAATAATTACATAGCTTATTAAAGTGAGGTAAAAATGGACCCGCTGATGGGGTTTTTTTGTGCTAAACTCCACTTTCGCTAAGTTAGACTCTGTTTTTGATTAAACATACAATTCGCCAAAACACCAAAGTCACTTAACAAGTTGAAGTTTTCTATTAATCCCTTGGACATCATTTCGCAAGTGATTAATCCCCCTACACACCAGTCCCTCCCCAAAAAACAGCCCCGGAGCCCGATGAGCAGCAAAGCTCTGCGAGCTTTCCATTAATTTCTCCGCTGGTTTTTGAACTCCGCCTGGATCAACTCTCAAACGACACATCCTGGAGGACGAGCCTGGAAATTGCTCTCCCCTCCTAGCCCTCATTAACAGCCAGGGAAGCAGCCACGTCCCCGGAGGAGCTCTTCAAAGCACAGCCAAGATGTTCAAAGTTACCCACGACTGCAGATGCACAACTTCAGCCTCTGAAACAGGCCTGATTTTCTTAAGAGAGCTTCTTGGCTGTAATCAAAAGGTTCCCCATATCAGAAGCCACCTTTGAAAAGCTCACCCTGGTTGGTCTTCAGAGCATCTCCCTGGTCCTGCTGGGATGCCGTGTGTGACCACCTTTCCCAGGCATCTTCCTCACTGGCTTTCCAAAAAGCAAACTGGCAGCACCTTGCTCACACGCCCTGTGCCAGCCCTGCTCCAAACACTTGAAAAGAAGAAACTCCTTAAAAGCTGGGAAAGCAGTGGAAGACAACCTAAAAAAATCAAGCCTGGGACTGGAAAGTTTAAAGAGGCAAAGAGAAAGGCAGAAGAAATGGGGCTGGATGAAGCAGGACCCAATCCCAGTACCAGCCCACAGCAGGCAGCAACATCCATCGAGGATACCTCAGCACATTGCAGAGCAAAAATTATAAAGTCAAAGAAATGGAAATTTTTTAACCACTAAAATTCAGACTCTTTCATTTTGTTTCTGCAAAAACAGGGTCAAAGTGAGGTTTTGTAAGGAGATCTTCTTTTCTTTTCAAATGGGAAGAGTTTGGGCTTTGTTAAACAGCTACTTCAACTTGCTATTCACTACAGAAAGAAATGGAAACCAGAAGAGGAGAGATGTCAGGAAAAGGTGGAAAAGGTGACAGAAGTCCCACTTGCAAGAGCAGATGAACGATGACAGAAGAACTGCTGCATTTATGAACGCTACAGCGAAAGAGTTTTTTTACATCCTTGGTACATAAGGAAAGGATATTGTGCAATGCTTGACTAAAAACACGCCTGACGCATCTCAAGATCGCACAAACCAGATTCAAATGCTGCGGTCCCTCTCGGAGGCACCATCCCGTGACAAGGTCAGGGATGTTTTCGCACATTCTCCCGAGCACAGAGAGATGCTAAAGCCGACGGCGGCCGATCCACAACTAAACCCTGTGCATCTAAACAACTGCTACCCAGCCCGTGCAAGAAGAGCCATTAGCCTAAGAACATCTGCAGCATCTTTAACACCACAGCACCTCACAGCAGCCAGCCAGACAGCACGAACACATATAGTCTGGAGACAGACTATAAGCAACCATGGAATTGGATTTTTTTCCCAATATTTTGCTTTTTTTGCCGGGCTCGCCCAGGGAAAGCAGGCAGGCTTCCGATTAACTCTCCTTTCAGGGTTGTGTTTGGCAGCAGGGTGTTGCAGTTGAAAGGACTGCTGGTTTAATAGCTCAAATTTGAATTTCTAGGAAAAAAAAAATGAACATGCTTTTCTGCTTGACAGCACTGACACGAGCCTCTATTGTAAACCGAGTCCGACCTAACAACGCATTTCCATTTGGATATTGCAACCATCTCTCTTTTTTTTAATATTCAAGTATTAATACCTAACCACGACTAGGTCACTCTACACAGCAAAACTCCCTTAATTACACGCTTAACATTAACCTCAGGCCAAACCATTTGTTGATACTTTATTTTGCAGAGAGGACAGGCTTAAGCAGCTACCTGCAGACTTGATGAACATGGGGAAAACTGCTTTCCATGCCACCGATGTCAATGTTAGTCTAAGAGCACATACCTGGTACCTGACAGCAACAAGATACTTTTATTTTTCAAATTTGTGGTCACAACAGCCTGGCCAGCACAGCCAGCAGCTTTCCCTTCGGCACCTTGAGCTGCTCCACCTCCAGCAGAAACCGAGCTGTCACCTTCCTGTGCTCTTCACCAAGGAACTGCCTTCACCCAGGACCCATCTGGGCTGGAGCAGGATCCCACAGGCACTAACACCGCTGTGTTAACCCAGCCGCAACAGTGGGCTCCAAAAAAACCCCTACGTACTTAGAAGGCAATGTGTCTTGGACAAGACAGGGACACATTGGGCAGGGACCCAGCCTTGTCCTTCCCCCAAATACGTGACGCTAGGAATCATAGAAAGTTTTGGGTTGGAAGGGGCCATTAGAGGTCATCTAATCCAACCCCCCTGCAGTGAGCAGGGACACCTTTAACTCGATCAGGTTGCTCAGAGCCCCGTCCAACTTCTTGCGTGGGCTAGACCAAGACAGGCAGTGACAAGAAAAGTAGTCTTTTATTTCAATGAGTATTTCTTGGCATTAGGCAGATATTAAATAACACTGGAATGCACAAGACTATTAACATATCGACAGCAAAAGGGAGGAGGTGTAGCCAAGTCGAGAACAGCAGTGCGAGTCACGTCACCTCGGGGCACTCAAAAGCCATTTAACGCAGCAACCACCAGAAAGTAGGACTCCACTGAGAAATACAAAATGAGGATGAACCCCTCTCAGGTCTTTCGTAAATACAGTAACGTCGGAACGATTGACAGTAAAAATGAACAAATATTTGCATTCAGGAATTAAACAGAGTGAAATATCCACAAACTGCTAGTCATGCATTTCTTTTGGAACAGCAATTTGCTAATGCATAAATATCACAAAAAAACAATCTCCAAGATTTGAATAAATCACAGACGACTAGAAGAAACAAAGCTCAAATTCTATTTTATGCCTTAAATAGATGACCTAAATATTTAAAATTTTACTTCACAAAATATATATAATTTATATATATATTAAAAGAAAGTAAAGACCATTAGATAAGTGCAAGCAATTTTCCTCAAAAAGAAAATTGGAACCATGCCCAGGAAAGCTGCTTTTTTTTTTTTTCCTTTTTTTTTTTTTAACTTTCCCCCCCCCTCCGCCCCCTTTTTTTTTTTTTTTTTTACATAGTAATTTCTGAAGCAAAATAAATTATCTACCATCTGCTATGTCGGGTAAAAGTCCTACCTAGCATCTTCTCGGGAACTACTAGAACATCACCTTTCTTACAGACTAAGTGAAGTGGGTATCTCACCAGCGACATGAACTCTTTTGTAGCTGCATGTAAACATACCTTCCGATTAACATTTAAAATGTGTAGAGTGAATGGTAACATTACGGGGAAGCAGAAACGGAGCTGCCGAAGGAGAGCTGCACTGGTGTTAAGTGAGGGGAGCGAGGGCCGGTTCGCTCGGACGCACACGCACACGCACGCACGCACGATCTGGCAACGGGATCTTATCCGCGAAGTGTGGAGGGGTGGTTGAGAAGGCATCCGTTTGCGAGCAAAGCTTGAAGGACACAAGCCGAGAGATTCCCTGTGCACACTGTCCGCTTTCATCAGAACTGACTCGCGCTACTGGGGTCGCACTGTAACAACCGCACGATGGAGGGGTCGCTCTTGGCACCTTTGATGAACTCTTCCAGCGACAGTTTACCTGAAAGGGAGGAAAAAGAAAATGGGAATAATAAAATAAATAAAAAAACCCAGTCAGTTGCTGCAGCCACTGTTGCTGTAGCTTAAAAAAAACCCCTCCTCACCAAAGCAACATACATATATTTAATCTATCGTAAAGGCATCGAGGGGAATTTAGTGCAATGCACAGCAGCCAAATCCTACTCAAGCCCTTAAGCCCAGATGCATTTTTCTTCTACAAAACAATCTAGCATAGTAATTGTTATTTTTTTATTTAAAATGACAGTACCAAATATAAAAACAACTGTTCTAATACCCTTTGGCAGCTTTTTGCCCAGAACCAGACTATACAAACTACACAACACATGAACACAAGGTACAGTACCTGAAAATACGTGCACTTTGAAAATCATGCCCATATTACTATGACATTTTAAACCTAAATATCCCAAATGTCTCTGCTTTGCACCCTCTCGGTTTGTTGTGACACGCAGGGCTGAGCAGTGGTGGCTTCTCCTGAGCCTACAAGCCACTTGCTGTGCCCCGTGGGGTGTACAGGAATGGGACTTGTTTCATGGGGCAGCCAGGAGAGCCACCACATTGCCATGTGTCCCTCCTGAGCACTTCTGGTTTATACATCTTTGGTTTAGGGCAGAGGCACTGACTTGGGTAGACCCTGTAACAGTCTGTGGGCCTGAAAAGGCAATCTCTGGAGGAGCAACCGTGAGGGGCAACCGACCCAGCATCCCCTGGCTGCAACAGTCCCGTGGCATGGCACGACATGGCCAGGAGAAAAGGTCCCATCTGGTCCCCCAGGCATCATCCTGGGGTGACCCAGCCTCCTGGCAGGCTTTTCCCAAGCTCAGGACCAGTCCCCTGCACACAGGCCATCAGGAGCCCATGAGCAGCCTCTGCCCTGCCTGCTGTCACCCACGCTCTCCTGCTTCAGCGCTCTGAACCATGGCAGA